GGGGACCTCCCAGACGAGATGTGAGTGGTCAAAGTTTGAATCTGGCTCGTAAGCGCTGCTGATCGACGCCTCGGCGCATGAGGGTTTGCATCCGGTTGGCGCGAAAATTTTTGCTTCGCTCCGTATAAGAGCTTCAACTCTAATTTTCGAAATTCTTCCGAATTTACGGCCCAGCAGGGCAAGTAGATCAAGTACATCAAGTATACGACGTACTCGATCTAGTATGGATTTGGTCATATCTGCCCTCTCTGAACATATTACCCATCCGACAATTCAAAGTTTTGCCCAGAATCGCAATTTGGCCAGACGAGCGTTTTTTCGTCGAAGGATGTGATATTCGTGTTCAGGGGGTCGAAATCTCCCATGAACGAATTTCTCAAATAGTTCACAAAAACACGCTCCGCATCATTTCTTTTAACTTTGAAAACTAAAACTTTGAATTGTCGGATGGGTAATATGTTCAGAGAGGGCAGATATGACCAAATCCATACTAGATCGAGTACGTCGTATACTTGATGTACTTGATCTACTTGCCCTGCTGGGCCGTAAATTCGGAAGAATTTCGAAAATTAGAGTTGAAGCTCTTATACGGAGCGAAGCAAAAATTTTCGCGCCAACCGGATGCAAACCCGCATGCGTTTGACTTGAAAGCGAGACCATTACCACGAGGCCACGGTGGCACTGCCGAAGCATCGATCAGCAGCGCTTACGAGCCAGAACTCAAACTTTGACCACCCAGATCTCGTCTGGGAGGCACTTTTAATCTGCATATTCGTAATCAGCATTCGAGGCTCTATCGATGTACCTAGGTCTCCATTCAAAGTTCCATGGGAAGTTCAAACCATTCCCTTGTAAGCAGCGAACATTAATACTTCTAGGGGCCGCAATATGGTACAAGTGGGCCTGATTTAGTTGCAGGAATTCAACGGTTTTTACAAGGTGGCCTAACCTTGCTGAGTACCATTTGATGCCCCCACCAAACCGAACTTTTTTCCGGCCCAATTTTGTAAGGTTAGTGGTGTTTCGAGGTTGATCTAAGCGGTTTGGTGAAGTTTTGCTGTATCCCGTACTTTCACAAAAATCGACAGGTCTCATCACTGTGAGCAAATAGATGTAATTAGCAGAGCAGCAAAATGTCCCTCTAAGCCGAAGCAGATCCCAAAGGGATACGTAATGGGGTAATTTTCCATGAGGAGATTAAGCATGAAAAGCTGAGCAAGACTAACCTCATTCACAGAACTCGAAATTGACCTCTTGAACGTCTTATAGAAGTCCTTCCCCTTCGATGTCATCTAAAATGGGGTCCACATTATCAGCATATCGATAGAACACTGAGAACGATTCATGCGGAAAAGATAGAATAAATAAGTAAACCTGCAGTTAAAAAATCGTGAAATACGGGAACTAAATAAACAGTGTAAATTTAAGGCAATCCATGATCTACACCTTTCCAATACGAGAAAATGAATGAGGTAGGGCCATGCAGCAGCACCTTTGCGCCAATGCAGACGACAAGAGCCGGAGAGACCGTTCGCCCTGTAGGACGAGGTGATTTTGGTGGTCAGCGCTTCAAGCCTAAAGCTTGGGTAAAGGAAGGGACGCGCAATTCCTGCCGCATGGCTCTGCTACCTAGCACCGAGATTGTAGTCCAAGCGTGTTTAGACTTCGCGATCGGGGTACTCCACCGCCAATCGGTGAACTGCCGTACCAACAGAATTCAACTGGGCTGCATTCATACTGCTCTGTTTTCTTGT